GAAACTGTTTTAGTTTGTCAGTCCAATTATAAGTTAGTTATTGTTTTGTGCCAGTCCGAAACCTATATAACTGCATCAGGCGAGCGATACTAAAACTAATAACAAACAACAAGCAATTTGTGTTTGATGAAATAAGGGGTATTTGTGATCTCAAGAATCATGCTGGGGTACATGAACCACTGGATTTTTGTTGATGCTTAAACTTGAAATTAAGATATTCCGATGAGGATTGGTTCAGCCTCACACAACTTCTGTACAAACAATGCAGGGGTAGAGTAGAGTTGGTAGGGCTGGTGGAAATGTGAGGCTCTAGTCTTGCTTTTAATACATTCAGTTCAAGTTTAGTCATGGTTTTGATCAAGTAATTTTTTCACTGAATTGTTAAAAGACAAATATTTAACTGGATGACCACTGTTGTGCAAACTATTAGCTGTAAATGCCCATAGCCACTGCACAAAAGTGTAGAAAATGCTTATCCTGATAAGGTTAGATTAGGTAGACAAATGTCTATCAGAATCATCTTGACAGCTCTGATTTCAGATTGATGAGAGTCATTTATCTTTGACCTCTGGGGCGTGACAGAGGACAAGAGGCGTGTACCTGCTGCTAATAGCCCCACCGTTAACATCTAATCTCCATCTCAATAAAGAGATTATATCCACACTACTGTTCACCTGTGTATATGCAGTGGTAACCTTGACTTTGACAAATAGAACCCAATATGAATGTATTACTGGCTGTAAAGATATCATTCCTGCATTAAATTCTGTGATACAGCAGTCAAAGGTTGTGCAGTAAGTAGTGTATGTTTACTGATCAGGCAGAAAACTAATTACTAAGTTAATAAACCAGGACAAGAATTATTTAAGGATAAGAGATTATGACTGTAAACTTCCCAGGAGTCAAAATGTTTCTCTAACATTGACAGTGCATTACTTTTTGGGTCATTATAAAGAGTACATAGACAAACATCATTTGACTTAATTGACCGAATTCTTCACCTTTAAAACACAAACAATTGTACTCCAGAAGCCTGAGTGGGTGGCAGGATGAGCATCTGATGTAAAATGCATGTCAAATCAGTGTGGTAATCTGCAAATGTTTTCTTTTGATTGCCTCAAATAAAAAGTGAAAAAATAAAATAAGATTAAACATGCACAGTAGCGCTACAAAAGGTATTATCACTAAACCGCATATCCTTTGCTCTGGTGTGTCCTCTCAATAGTAGAGGATCCTGGGTGGGTTGCTTTTTGAAAAATCAGACTTCTTCTGTATCACCTGAGCAGAGCCAGCTGCTCCACATGCTGCGGCCGTGTGCAGGAGAGAGCACCTGCCCTGCTGCTCTTAACATAAATGGATTCTGCTGATTTAGGAGAAAGGGACGTACTGGGACACCATATTCCTTTTCATACAGCCACCTTCCTCTGCACCAGCATTTTTTGTGTTCTTCTTCTAGTCCTGCACTATAGAACAAACACACAAGTGCATTACAAAAACATAGTAACAATAGAATATGTATAAATATATGTGAATTTGATAGTGGTATGTTGAAGTATGCTAAAATTCTTTTGTAGCAAATGTGAAAATTGTGTTAAGGTCTCTTAAACCAACAAAGATAACAATAATGTTTCATACTGCTATTTAGTGTCTTTGGAGGTTTGAAATGAAAAGGTCAGATGGAAAATAACATCCTCCATAAAATCCTCCAGCTAAGGCAGTCCTGACTAAGCCGAGCTCAAAATCTGGAGACGTGTAGCGCCCACTGCTCCTGACAGATTGCCCCAGCGGGACTGAAGGATGGGTCAAATGCAGAGGACAAATTCCCTTATGCTATTGGGACTATGAAGTATACCTTGACCTTAAAAGACCCATATTAAGCTATTTTCTGATCTCTGTTATAATGTAATTTCTTTATCACAAACATATATGGAGTTGTGTTTTGTTTAATTCAGACATATTTAGCACACAAACCCTGCATATTTAAGATCATTTTTCTCTCAAATGAAAAATAGTCTATGTAATTAGGTTCTTTTTCAGACCAAGAGCTTTTATACCTGACAGTTTCGACTGCTGACTAGCAGTCTTCAGAGTGTTTATGTGATGTTTCTGTGACGTTTTTCGATAAGCTGATTTATACAGATTTTTGCGCTGTCTTCCTACCGCAAACAAACTCTTGGTCTGAATAAAGAACCTAATTACATAAATTGCATGCATTATTGGAAGACAAATGAACCTCATTGGACTGAAAAACACTCTTTTCCACCTTGTGATGTCATGTAATACAGAAAGCGCTCCACTGTGTTTTTAAACCCTGTACGCCTTCACTAGAATCACTTGGATAATTTCAGCCCTGGAATTGCCAGTCTCTACTGAACAAATGGTAAAAGGTCTTAACTTGAAAACTACAGCTTCATGAATAGCGTGGAATAGCACATTTTGAGCTTTGGAGATAAACAGACTAATAATAAAGGGTTAGTCAAACATGTGAATGAAACAAAACACAACTCAAGGTATGTTTTTCATGAGGTAACAAAGATCACAAGAGTCAGTTTTGCTTAATATAGAACCTTTTAATGACACCAGTTTTTCATGTTTTTTCAGTAACAAAACCTCTACCCCTCTGCATCATTTCTTCTTTTGTTTGTCTTCCCCCAGCTAAAGATCCCTCCTGCCCTGCTCTACCATCCATGACAGTTGGCATTTGGCCCATCCCCAATACATACTGTTAGACTTTTTCACTTCCTTCCTCCAATTATATGCCAGGATTCAACTGTTGTCTCCTATCTGGTGTCTGGTCACATACATACTTGACCTATGGCTAATAAGCATGACTTTGCTGACAGTGAATCGATGTGTCAACTGTGTTCATAGCATATGTTTAATGCTTTTTGGGTTTGGTAATGGCTAATTAAAATGGGCTTAATTATCTATTGCTTTAAAGGAGAATATGCAAAAAGGCAGTGTCCTTGGTGGGCTCAAAATCACTGAGACTAAGTGTTTTTTTGCTGACGGCACATAGGGGCAGATGCAGTGAAGTATTGTATCTGAAATCACACGTCAAGGCCTAATAAGGGGAGTGTACTGTAAACAGCCTGAATAATCAATGCCTTTAGAGACTCAGGGGAAACTAATGAAGCTTTGGGAATCGAAAACATGAGATATTTATGCAATTATGGATTCAGTTTTAAAATGTGGTGGAATTTTGTCAAGGCATCTTTTAAATCCATGTATGGGTTCCTCATATTTCGAAATTGTTGGAGTTGAAAGTAGCAATTTCCTTTTATTGAGCCAATTTTAATTTATTTTTATACTTTCTTTCTACGCAATGAGAAGAGAGGCCAAAAATTATGATAATATCTGAAGGATTGGTGCAAGAAAAAAAAATAATTTAGTACCGTAAACATAATACTTTTGTTCCCTGTAGATTAAACCAGTAGACAGAGTGCATCAGAAAAAATGTATTATACTATATTGTGTTCTAATTATTGTAAAAGTGTCTTATCTGGCCAGACAAGTCACAGGGCAAGAGTACACTATACTTTTACTCAAGTTTGCTGCTTTAGTATTATCTATATTAGTAAGAGTATACTCAAACAAATGTACTTGAGTAAATGTAACTGATTACTGTAGTAGGGATGTAACAGTAACCAAAATATCGTGATATCATGTCGTCAAAGTTCTCACAATAGTATTGTGGACCATTACAATATATCGAATTACAAGTCTTTTTGCTTAAATGAAGAGTTATGGTGCAGCAATAGCTAAAAAGAGAGAGACTGAACTACATCGACCATGATCCTTTGCTCCATTTCAGTGTAGACTACATGAAGAAATAACAGTTCTAAGCACTTTTAAATCTTAGTTCTTTGGATTAAGTCTTGTCAAGGTATTTTAAGAGGAAAAAGTAGCACATTAACAATTTCATTAGCCTCCAAAGAATATTGCAATAAATATCGTACCGTGATATTTGGATATTGTTACATCCCTAATCGTGAGCCTCCCCACCATATTGTGAGCTTTCCTACAATATGGCAATAAATATCGTACCGTGAGATTCATACTGTGACAATATCATATCGTGAGACTTGAATATTGTTACACCCCTACTGATTAGCCTTCTACGCATCTCTGCTCAGAATATATTACAGCAATGAAGTCAATTGTCAGACTTGCTATGTTTTATACATCTTTTAATCCCAATTTATTGCTTTAGATTCAACCAGTTGGAAAATACAGTATTCTTCAAATCCATGGAGGATTTGGCTCTCAGCAAAGACAACACAGACTCACTTAACACAGCCATTAGCTTCTCATATCCTTCAATTTAATTATCAACTGCCAACTCTTGACAAACAGCTTAGCATTGCTTCATATCTCTCTGTGTCCACATACGATGGGAGGAGAAGTGTCCGTATTGATCTGGAACATGAGGAGGATTTATATTGAGGGACAGTGGGCGTGAGACTCTGTAAACTATCTGTCAGTAATTTGATAGATTATTTCACCACCGTGGCAGACACGTGGTGAAAAGTGTGTTTGCGAATAGGATTTTCTTGTCTCCCCCTCTGTCTGTCTCTGTGTGTGTGGCCTTCAGGGTTAACCAAAGAAAGATTGAGATCAGTGGCGTTGGACCAAAAGGTTACACACCAATTTTTCACTTCACAGAACTTCAAATTTAAAGTTTTATCACACGTCAAAAAGAGGACACCGCTATCTCAGGGCAGTGTCTGTTAAATTACTGCTACTTACTCGACTTTATGAGCTCACTGACCATCAAGTTCAGCTAAGATTGCAGCACAGTGAAGCAGTTAACATGTTTCTTCTAAAAATAAATAAATCATAACAATTAATAAAATGTCAGATTTTTCCGTATGGGTAATAAAACAACAGAGTGGACTTAAACAATCAACACCAAGAAATGCATGATTTTTGTAAAAGTATTTCTTCAATCATTATTAAACGGTTTGGTTTAATAATATAATGTGTATGTGTTTGTCCAGGTTTGAGTGTGAGTGAGGACCCCCCTCTCCACAGAGTGACCACTGGACCTCCATCAGTCCCAGAGCACCAGAGAGGACAGCCCTGTCGCAGTCTGCAGCCGCCCTCTACCCCCGCCCTGCCTAGACGCTACCTGCCCGCCCAGCCCCGCAGCTCACCTGGAGGTCAGAGCGCAACGCACTGGAACACACAATACATCACAATACATATAGTGTGTCTAATACAGATTAGGGCTGTGAGATTGTAACTCTGACTATTTGACCCATACTTCAAATGACTATTCAAGTGATTATTCACACAGAGAGGGGTATGCATCAGCTTGCTTAAAATTAAAAGAACAAAAAATGTAATGAAAGATACATGTTTTTGCACATAGAACACACTTCAGAATTAGTGTAAATAATTTAATCTTGAATATGCAATTTTTCAATGGATGTAATAATCATGCTTAATCTCAATTAATTGCATAGCTCTAATACAGATGAATGTTATGTGACAGTGGATGTTTGATTCATAAACATATAAAATTGTATTGAACTTCATGACTCTTGCCAAACAAGAAACCTTTAAATTATCAAAAGCAATTACTCCAGAAATGCTCTATATCTAAAATGATATTTCTGTACCAGAACTTGATTTATGATTGTGAGAAAAACACTTAGCAGATGTAGCTGTTCTCTTCAGGTAACAAACTGCCTCGTGTCGCAGATGTGTCACGTTCTGTTTAAAGTATACAAATGTTTGGAGACAAGCAAAATGGATCAAGTATGCAGTGGTGTTCAAAGGATTTACAAAGAGATGCTCTGGTAAACAACAGTGGATTGAACTGTAATTCATGTGTTTGACAAATAGTTCAACGTACCACACATAATGTACATTCATCATAATATTTATCACTTTAGCTGATTTTGGAGACATGCGCGCAAATGTTTGTATTACTTTAACATTTTCAGAATGAGCAATCACATCTAAATAACAGCGGCAAACCTAAGTCTAAGATAATGCTTGTACTACAGCAGGATAACAGTATGTCTTAGTGAAATCTGAACCAGAATTAAATAACTGAGTAAATGTAACTTTCAGAACTACCAGTGGCACCTTATTTTGTGAACTGCTTGTATAAAGGACATGCACTTGTGATGAGCTCTTTATAGTCCTTTGGGAACATTGTGTTAGCCACTAAACAACTCGTAACTTTTTATTATAAAATCAATTGAAAGCTGCAAAAGGAAAATAACTCTTCTCGCTGTTATTAATACATTATAGCCTGGTTTACATTTGAACATCTCTGTAAGTCTATATATTCCACTATACATAAATTGACAGCTCGTATAGTAAAAATGCAAGCAACACTTGTACTGGTAGATCTCACGTTTTAGTCGACATCGCCTGTAAAGTGCTCGGGGAGAGAGCAAACAGCCACAGTGGCAGATGAGGAGGCTCTACACACATTCACTTTCACACATGAGATTTACACCAAGCGGCTCATAGTATCACACTTCACTTTGTAGCACGTCCACGCCTTTTGTAGTGAGAAATCTTTGTATCTCCTGCGTGAATAAAGTTGAGTGAAATATTTTCTTGTATAATAGTTTTGAGTCAAATACACTGGCCTGTATGTCACAGTTTAGCACCATTTAGCATAGTTGTGGTTAAATTGTCTATGTTGTGGAAAAAAACAGATTGAAAGCAGTTGAATGGTTAAAATACTTAATAATCAAGATTACAATTAGGTCAATCAGAATCATGTAAATATACCTTAAAAACATGTATTCTTCCAGTCAGTGTGGTGGCCTTTCCATAGTTTTCTGCACACTAATAGATATGTTTAATGCCATACTGTGGAACATTCCAGACAAAGGCATATCTCCATGGAGACAAGCAAATGGCAGACCCTCCACCAGAAAAAATTACACAGTACACCCTCTAATTAACCTACTAAGAAGTCAAGAAAACTGATGGCCTAGACATAGAATTCAAGTCGAACTGCTGATTGGATTTTGTGGTTGTATTTCTCCCTAACAACAGACTCATAGTGTGACCACATACTGAGAACGTAGCAAGCGGTATTTTCAACAGCCCACAGTGAATTTGGACTCCTCTGGTTTTAATCCACTTTCCGAGGTCATTTGGGGATTTTGTGTTCAGGATCTAAGACTTCTCTGCAATTATAGGTTTCATTATTTTTTTCTCCCTCTCTCTTTTTCTCTTTCTTTCTCTCTATCCTTCCTTCCAAACTCTTTGGCAAAGCTGACCTCATATCTCTTATTCACTCACATCTATTTGCCATGGCATCTTTTGAACATTTCTCCTCTCTGATCTGCTATGTCACAATTCTGAGTTTACATAATTAATGGAGATTGAAAATTACAAAGAGATTTTTTTCAATCATGCAGCGTAATGAGAGAAATACCATTAACAATTCGCTCACTTACTGTGCAAAATGTGTCATGTCACGGAAAGCAGGGTTAGAAGATGGGTTAGAAGTGTTTCTCTTTTTTAACTCACGATCCCCTGGGCCATAGTTATAGCTCTCAGTGGGCAAAGAGATAGCTGGGGATCAAAGACCGAAGGGGCAAAAAGCGCGGGATAAAGTTAGACGAAGCTGAAATGAAATCTCCCAAATTTAGGTGTCGAAAAGTAGTCAAAAATGTCAAATAGGAAAATGCACTTTGAAGTTTGATTGACATACACCTGCTCACGTATGCTCTGAAGTTTGCAGTTTCATTTCTGAGTTTTATGGAAATTTTATTCAATTTTTTTTTTTTGGTGAAATTCGTTATTTTTGTCATTCACAGTTGGTCGAAAAGAGTTTCAAAGGAGTTCAGAGGTCACACGCTCACTGCCGTCATCTCCAAAGAGGCTTGCTGTAGTTCCTCCTAAGCCACAGTCTCCAGGTATGTGCACAATTTTCTAAAATATAATATGTTTATTTCTTCATGCAGCAGCTTGAAGTTACAAGTTCAGTTTTGTCATAAAATCTGTACATCATGCAACTTTTCTCTTTTGTTATGCTCACCTTAAAAGATGCACTAGGTTGGAGGTCCGTCACCTGCTTGTGTCTATGGATATGTCATTGTTCTGCCTAGAATGTTTCACAGTATGACATTAAACAGCTCTTTTATGCAATTAAAGATGGTTTTATAAAACATAGAAAAACATGCATTCTGACTCTGAACGGGTTTGCCTCTCTACAGATCTGACCTGTAACTTGGTCTGGTTTGACCCCAGCGTAGATAGAAAGATTTAATGCCATACTGTGAACCATTCTAGACAAAGCAATAACATCTCCGTGGAGAAAAACATTTGATGGACCCTGCACCAGAAAAGTTATACAGTGCACCTTTAAATCTTTCCTACTCAAAGAACTCGTGGGTCTGGATATTTTATACTGGACACAATTTTTACAAAAACATAACTGCTCCAGACTGTCCCTATATGTCTACATCCTACTCTGTCTCCAAGGCCAGACATGTACTAATAATAGTCTATATGTTTACAACCTCGTCCGCCCTCACACCCACAAACATTGAGTCATATAGGAAGCTCATTTTGCCGACTGCATACAAAATCCATACCCTTCTTTCTAGTTGCGTTTTGTACAGATTTAATCAAACTGGATATGGAAGGTTTCTTTTAGTCACACAATCTATTATTTGTCTCAACATGCTGCTAAACTGCCTGGACCATACTACACCACTACTGACCAGTGTAATCAGATGAAAACTCCACTTATTAAATTCTCTTAATATCAAAATATACGTTGCCAAATATTTTTTTAATTCTTACAATTAATTTTTTTTAACCTCAAGAACAAAATGTTCAGTTGTTGCCTGATCGCCATCCACCCACTAACCAGTGCCGTGGTGAAGAGATAATTAGTATGTTATATCTGTCAGTGGTCTTATTGCTATGCTTGATCTTATTTTTCTAATGCCTTTACACAGGACAGAAGGTGGTTCCTAAATTACACCAGATTAAACTGGGTCTGCTCATCTTTCTTTATACTGGACATGTTGCTCCTCAGGCTAGTCCTTTGTCTTCTCCTTCCCACTATTAGCAAAGCACCTTACACTATTCACCCTTTTGTATTAAAGCAAAACGGTCTTTGTTGTGCTTTGTCTACACCTACTCACACATTAAAACATTTCCTGTGTTTGTTTACCAAAATAATGTGTGCAGATGTATTCAACTTTGGCTTCTCGCAGCTGAAATAACAATTCAATAAACCTTCCTTGTATTACCCAGATCCACGGCACTCGCAATCACCAATATGATTTCATGGATTCATATTTTCCCTCATTTTGAGAAAACACCTTGCTCATTTGTATTCTGCCTTCCTGCTGGTGCATAAACAATTCAAATATCCACTACTCTCTCCATAACCTTTCAATAAGTGTCATAGGGAGGTCTAGACTCAAAATCGTGCCCAGGAATTAGAATAAGCTTTTTAGCTACAAATGTTGCATTGTGGACAATAGTGTAAAGCAATACCAGCATCTAAGTATGTCCATTCACATTAATATAGAACAACTACAACTATAGGTTGTACAAATGTGGGTTTTTAACATTCTCAACACTTGACAATAGTCTTGCATTTCATGTAAGCAGAGTATTGAAAAAAACACTACCCATAATTGTAAACCAGCACTGAGTATCATGAATCAAGAGCTGTGTGCTTTGCTGAATAAGATATCTCAGTTCTTAGACAAATCAATTCACATTTTTACTTTTACATGTATTTTACCTCTTAGACTTTCAAATGAATGATAAAAGCCAGATTCCTATTCCTGTGGTGATCCTATGGGCTTTGTCTCCAACCCCACTCCCCCCCCTTATCCTTGGCCCAGAGCTCACCTCCCATCTCATCCCCCACTAAAGCACCTCTCAGTCATTACCTGGGACCCCCCTCACCCCTCACCCCGCGTCCCGGCCTGGCAGCCTCCCGTCGTCATGGTAACGCTCTACAATGGTCCACTGAGTCTGAGCAATGCAGCATCAGGCAGGTGGAGGTGTCGCAGTGGTTTCTTCTTGTTCATCAATTTAAAGCTAGCATGGAGCGCCCAACCTTTTTTTTGTCTTTGTAAAGCCCTCAGTTCTCCCTTATATGTTCTGATGATTTTCCATACACTGATTATGTGAATGGCATAATAATAGATTTTGGTCTTTAAGGGCCAGCGCCACCTGCTTGTCTCTGAGAGAGAGAAGTTTAATGTCACACTGTGGAACATCTTAGGCAAATAAATTACATCTCATGGAAACAAGTAGGTCAAGAAAAGTGACATAGTGGGCCTTAAACTTCATCTGAACTAATGTATATGTTTAGAAATTTTCGGCCTGAGTGTTGCAATTAAACACAAATAAATGTCATATATGACCATGAACAAGTTCATTTTCCCCTCCTATTTTTCCTTCAATCTCTCCAATCTTCTTCGATCTCTCCGATATTGTTTGAATAAATGCATATTATGTAAAGCAATTAAAATAACACATGTTTAGTGGTTGAGGAGACTAGAATGAAGCACATTAAGATTGTGTTAGTATCCCTTTAAGAGGATTTCATATCTGATCTATGGACTGCTGTGTGTCTCTGCATGTGACTTATACTACATTATGTGACAAGGTGACACATGCCGAGTGGTAATCTTGTCTGCTAAGGCTTAATGGCAGTCCCTGCTAGGACCACCAAACCAGTTACTTTTTGTTTAAATCAAAGTGATTAATTAAAGTGTTTACACAATTAAATCGCATATGTTGTCTATTGTCTTTGTTGTTAATGCCACAACTCAATCAAATACACAATAGTGATTATATTGTTCTTTTAGTGGGTCATAATGGTGGAACAGCCTTCTCTGTAAAATGGGTGCAATTAACATAAGATCATTTGTCATGTGAACAAAGTCATTAGCAATAGGTCAAGTCAAATCTCATCTGATTTAATCTCATCAATTCCATTATTAAGGCCGGATATGTTCTAGTTAGATTATTAATGACATATGGGAGTGGGATGATGTAGAATAATATGTGAGTTTGTATGTATTTTTTTTTTTAGCTTTTATTTGTTTTCTCTCTTTTTTTTTTTAGGAAATTATACTGCAGTGATAAAAAAAAACATGTTTTAAATGTTCATATATCTCTGTAAATATCTAATGATTTTTAAAACTTTAGAAAATATGTAAAAAGTTGTCATGAATTGATACTAAGTGATGCATAAACGACAATATAGAAACTAGATACCGGTACTCATTTGCCAATAGCACTAATAGTGAAAAAAAATCATTAAATAAATCAACTGATGACTGATCTTGATCTTTATTAGAATTAGTATAAGATGACATGGTCACTTTAAAATCAAGAAAACAATCATCCTTGTTGTATCAAAATCAATATCAACACTTTATCTTAGTATCAAAATACATTTTAGTATTTTGAAACCTGGACAGTGAAGCCAACTGGCCAAAATCTCATCAGGAATAATGATTGTGATTATTTGAGTGTTGTCAATATTGTTGTCATTTTCTTTTTCCCTTCCAGTCCTGACAGACCAGCGACCCTCTGCAGTGGTGCGTGGGTCGGCACTGCCTGGATCTCCTCGCCGCGTGGCCCCTCTCAAACCTCAGCTGCAGCACCAAGAGGAGATCCTACAGAGAGAGAAGGAGGAGGCGCAGCAGAAAGAGAGAGAAAGACAGGAGGAGGAGAGGCAGAGAAATGAACAAAGAGAAGAGGTAAAGGACAGTTACAGGGACCTTTAATATTTAGTACCATTGTGAAGCATGACTTAAGGGGTCTGTATTTGTCATTTTAGAATATAAAAACAATTTAAACTAATCAAAATGTTCCTCAAAGCTCAGAGACGCTGAAACAAAGCACACATCTAAACAATTGTATAACAACTCTTGACACCTTTTCACATCTTAAAGTGTACATTACTGTCTTTTTTTCTATTTTGTTTATTCCTGTAATATAATGTGTTACTATAGTGTATGTGTGACTCATAGGTCCAGAGGCTGCAGAGCCGATGTGAGCAGCAGGAGACACAGCTAAGAGCTCTCAGAGACCAGTTGAGGAGGATGTCCTTGGGTCTGGAGGCTTTTATCATCACCACTCAACATTACTGTTTCAAGGTACTGTAGGCGGCAAGAACAATGGCACTTATCTCTCTTAACCTAGAGTGTAATTCAGTCTTTGACTTTTAGATAAAATGCATTTAAATTAGCTGAAACAGATTTTGCAACTAAACAGACATGTATTGACAAGGTAAAACCAATAAGTACCAAGAGACCTCTGTAAACTTGTTGGCCCTATTTTGCAATGACAAATCCTGTTGTCATATTTAGACTTTGTGCTTTAGTCACTGTTGTAAAGAATCTACTAAGAAATCCTGGACCAGGGGAAAAAAACGAACTTCTTTGTCGATATAAGATAAGATATAAGATAATGATATAAGATTTGATTTACAAATTACTACTACTAGTAATAATAATAATACAAATCTCTGGATTTACATAGTAAGTAAGTAAGTCTTTATTTATATAGCGCTTTCACAGACATTTTCTGTCCCCAAAGACGCTTTACACAGCATTATTCAGCATTATTCATTCAGCATTCATTCATACAGCATTACTGGTGATGGTAAGTTACTATTGTAGCCACAGCTGCCCTGGGGCACACTGACAGAGGCGCGGCTGCCATGCCACTCGGCGCCATCAGTCCCTACGACCACCACATCACTCACACACCACTTTCATACTAGGCAATGTGGGTAAAGTGTCTTGCCTAAAGACACAATGATTGAATTTATTGTATTTAACTGACCATGACTATCAACTGTTTATGGAGACCTATGTAGCATGTTTTGGGTTGTGCCTTTTAAAGCATCCAAAGCACTTTACATTATTCATTCACTCTACACTTGGTGGTGGTAAGATACTACTGTAGCCATAGCTACCCTGGGGGCAGACTGACAGAACCGAGGCTGTTTATCTGGATCATTAGCCCCTTCGACCATCACATTCCTACTAGACACTGTGGGTGAAGTGTCTTGCCTAAGGACACAACAAATATCACTGCATGAACTATAGTCACTGCTACCCCAATATGGTGTCTGGCATTCCCAGTGGTCTCCCATTCACTACTAACCAGGCTGAATGCTGCTTATTTTCCAAGATCTGATGAGACTGGGTGCTCTCAAGCTGGTACCACAAATCATAACAAACTAATAAGCATACTGATATAAAACAAAGAGAGTCAGAGAGAGATACTTTATTGATCCTGAGGGAAATTCAAGTTTTGCTGCAGCATAATTTACAGTGTGCTTCTCAGTGGCCTTTGTGTCTCTGTCGAAGGTCTGAGTGCAGTTTAACTGAGGACTGGTCGTGTCAGGGCAGCAGATCTGTGTCAGAGCAGTTTGAGGAATGGAATAGCCAAAATTACTTATAATTTCAGTGTGATTCAAAATTCTGTATTGTTAATCTGTACTGAGAGAATTAAAAATAAACCAATACATGTAATTGTAGCATCCTCAAGTTTAAAATTATACAACCCCTACACTTGTGCAGTGTAGGGGTTGTATATTAATTATACAGCTAACCTAACTGCACATCGACTAAACTGGATCTACCATATTGCAGATACCATGGACACCTGCATATCCCATACACTATTTAGAAGCATATTCACAGCATGGTCAATGAGCAGAGAGAGGAGTGGGTTAAATGGCAGCTGAGGGGGGGTCTTTGAGAGTTCACTGTGTCAGGGAGCTCGTTTGGCCCAGCCCTGTTCATCTAATGGAATGATTTAGCCTCTGAGGTGCCATATACCCACAGCACAGCACAGTCTTATGAGCAGACACACAGGGACTGTCTCATTTCTTTATGGCTGCTGTCTGAGTGCTGCAATCTCCTGCTCACATTTCAGGATTAGCTATTTGAGAGAGTAATGGCACCCTCTGCTGCTGAAGCTTTGATACAACAATTCTTATTCAGTTGAGAAAGGCTTTTGTTTTCTGTGTTGATATGTTTGTTGATTTTATATTGTTTGAAAGGTTTTGGGGTTTTGTGTGTGTGTGAGTCAGGATTAAAGGTAAGGTTAGTTAAAGGTAACATTTCTTTAAAGGTAAGGTTAGTCATACAGGTCACATTAGGGTAAAGGAACACAGGATTTGTTTTGGTGTTTGCTCACTATTGAGATACCAGGGCTTTGAAGCTCAATATAGAGCAAATTTAACCCTGAGTACAATGATCCAGTTTGAGTTATCTGGGCACAGGGCACTTTACAATGTCACCATAAAATATTACTATATTGATATTGCAATGCAAATAAAAATCAACATAATGAATCATGATTTCTTACATAATATTAATGTCAATGTGTAATTTAATTTCAGAACAACACGTCTGAAGAAAATGAGAAGAAACTATCTCAGGAAATCAAATTAATCCAAGAGGAGATTGGTATGTTTGCAAATTATGAATGATTTTGACTTGATACATAGCTCTAAGTACTCATTTATGTTATTACTTCTCAGCATCCCACTCACAGCGCTGGGAGAGGCTGCATCGGGAGAAGACCACCCTGGAGGTGGCCTTTGAGCGCGAGCTGCAGGAGCTACAGCTGCAGCAGGAGGCAGAGCTAGCTGCAGTGGAGGCAGGGCTTAGAAAGTGTCACTCAACTGAGACAGAGCACCTGAGGGCCGAGCACCGCTCTGAGATGGAGGAGCTTCGGACCCAGCAACAGGAGCAGGTACCACTCTGAGGATATTATTGAGGTGGAGGTAATAATGGAGGTAGTACATCATTCTGTGGGGGGGTGTGTGTGTGTGTGTGTGTTTGTGCAGATGGAAGAGATGACAGTTGGACATCAGGCTGCCATTCAGGAGCTCCGAGACATGCACAACATCACCATGGCAACACTGCACGAGGAACACGCCCGAACGATGAGAGGTATCATTGTCAATTACATTGTCAAACACTTCTTTCTACTGTTATAGAAAGTAACACAAGGGGTCACAAGCTGGTCTATTCTGTTGTAATAGAGATAGTGGCAAGAATGTACAGTACAAATATACAACATTCTTTTTTCTCTCCATTATGTTTTACTTTTATTGTTTGTATGATTTGTAGGTTTATACTTTTTGCACAAGAATAAATGTTCTCTTCTGTCTGCAAGTTCACATGTTTTCATTGTTTCAGATTTACGAAAGGCTCATGAGCAGCAGAAGATCCTGCTTGAGGAAGACTTTGAAAAACTGCGGCTTTCTCTTCAAGTGGGATTCCTCATTAAAAAACATAAATAAATAAAGCTATGTATGCTTGACCATAAAGAGTGTGCTAAATGGTACTGTTTTATGTAGGATCAAGTTGACACTTTGACATTTCAAAACCAAAGTCTGAGGGACAAGGCCAAACGCTTTGAGGAGGCTCTGAGGAGAAGTACAGATGAACAAATAGTGGTAAAATAAACATTACGATAGAATGATATTTCATAAAAAACATGTATATAATTTGCATGGAAATATTTTATGTATTGTATGCTCATTAGGAGGCTCTGGCACCTTACCAACACATTGAACAGGACCTAAAGAGTTTAAAGGAAATAGTGGAAATGAAAAACCAGCAGATTCACCAGCAAGAGAAGAAGATCACAGACTTGGAGAAAGTGGTAGGCTCAATTAGGCCATTGATGAATCCACTTGCACTTACAGTTAATATTAATTTACACATATTTGTTCGGTGAATCAAATCTTTTTTTGTGGTGGTTTTCTATTTGAGCAGGCCCAAAAGAATGTATTTCTTGAAGAGAAAATCCAGGTTCTGCAACAACAGAACGAAGATCTCAAAGCTCGAATAGAGCTGAACCTGTCTCTGTCCAGGTAAAGAAAAATGAAGGAAATACATCTGTAGTCTTCGTGTTTGAATGTGAACTATTGAATCTTATGATAAATGTTCTTGTAGGCAACTGTCCGAGGAGAACGCTAACCTACACGAGTCAGTGGAGAAGGAGAGCACAGAGAAGAAGCGTTTGAGCCGTAATAACGAGGAGCTGCTGTGGCGTCTTCAGACCAGTCCCCTCATGTCCCCCTCATCCTCCCCCCTGCACCGCTCCTTCTCCACCTCCCCCCTCCCATCCTCACCCTTCCACTGCTCTTCACCTGTCACTGGCTGTGAGTCACCCACCCACTGTCATGGCTGTCCTCAGCAGGCTCAGTACTTCTCTCCATCTCACAGAGCAGCCAACAATCAGAATTATTCACCTGGCCCGGCCACACCCACTCACAAGGCAACCACCAATCAGAATTACTCACCTGGCCTGGCCACACCCACGCACGGAGCAGTAGCCAATCAGAATTACTCACCTGGCCCAGCCACACCCATTCACAGAGCAGTGGTCAATCATAATCTGTCTCCTGGTCCGTCCACACCCACTCACAGGGCAGTGACCAATCAGAATTACTCACCTGGTCCGGCTACACCCACTCACAGAGCCACAGTGAACCTCTGTAATCCATCTCCGTGTCTGAGCTCTGCACAGCGATAAATTCTCCTCCAAGTATCTTCCATTTAATTTGAATGTTCCAAACACTGTGGCACACAGGCACGACTGTACCAGACTATAGAGCTTATGCACTGACATAATTTTATTCAAAAAATATTCTGTTGATACAGAGTGGCAGTAAGTTGCAGAGCTATGGGCGTCTAACAGAAATGTGTGAAACAGAAATGTGTTTCTTTGCTTTTTATTGCATCTTTTTTTTTTTGTCCATGAAGTTATTGTTTTTGCCACATAATAATTATTTCCTCAACACACAGACTCAGAAACATCTTATTTACAGAGAGAAAGGTTTAGTTCAAATGTATCTGTGCCCAAAGTCTGTATCAGTAATAAGAGTGCATGTAGTCTGCTGTTTCCCTGTTTTGTTTTTTTGTTGGTTTGTTTTTTACTATTGTTGACTTGATTTTCTTGTTTTAGTTGCCAGGTACAAACTAAATATTTAGCAGAGTTATAGATTTTTTTTATTTGTTATGAAGCTGTGGCAGCTCTTTCATATTTTAGATGTGTTTTGAGCTTTTACAGGAAAAAATGACATTACTCATCATTGACACTCATATAAGTGCCACTCGCTAATAAAGTTCCAAAGGTTGTGATGTCATCTGCATAACCTTTATGTATAGCTGTAGAAAGTCTTTATAGTGGTTCAGAATGTGAAACACAATGAAGAATTGTGTACAATTGGGTGGTTGATCCAATCTTACCTATAGGCTGTACATAGTGTACAGTAGTGATAAGGGAAGTGTCATCATGATTCATTGCATGTGTAGTTATGGAGCACACTTCCTCGTATTCATCTTGGGGCACATAGAAATACATACAGTAGACCGCAATTAATGGTCAGTTCTCAGTTAAACATCATTAAACAGGAATTATGGAAATCTTTAGTTCTGCTTTTTGTAATTTGGAACAAAGCGCCTTATTCTCAACCCTGCTGTCACACCAGCAACAAAAGACCAACATTTTTTTAACTTGTAAGATTTTGAATACATAAAGAAATCACATTTCTAAACTTAATTTTTATATGTTCATTGTTGACGGATTCACACTACCTAGCAATTTATTTACAAACAAACATTAAGGTGAATCTTGTCAGGTCTTCCTAAAATACAGTTTTTTAAAGCAACAATTCACTTGTGGATCTCTCAGGTCAACTTGCAAAAACCATTTCTGGGATTTCATTGTCTGTGTGTGAATGTGCAGTTTGGTTTATGTATAACTTTATTTAAAACTTAAACAGCGAAAAGCTCGGCATATGAAAACTTAGCACTGAAAATACTGTGGCAATTTATTCTTTCTTATGACTTATTTATTAAATAGTTTCATCATTTATTTATTATATTATGTGTGAGTCTTCCATTTTGGTCCACTTAAATTATGTATTGCTGTAATCTTTATAAACTTATGTCCATAAATGGTAGTTGTACATTTACGAATCACAAGTGATCATATACAGTCATGATAGGACACTCAGTATATAAGCTATGTATGTAGAGACATCATTGTATGTGGTTTTACCTCTTGTGATATAGTAGTGTAGTCTCATGTTAACCTCAACCACAGCAATTTTCCCCAACCAAGTATAAGACCGCCTCTCAAATATGCAGCCCCCTCGATAAACTGTAATGCACTGTGTTCAACAGTTAGACCAGACACAGGAGGAGAGAATACAGAGATGTGCAAGGTTCCATGTTATAGGTGGTCATATTGCACAACACACTGAAGTTCTGTGTTAAACTTATTGTGCAGACAAAAATGTTTCAGGGAGTTGTTTTCACAATTTTATCTGGAGACATTGTTTGTATAAATTATGTTTTTTTCCCCAAGATTTGTACAAAAACAGTAACGTGCATTCACACAAATTTTTTAAGCGTCATAGATCTCCTGTGCTGTAACAATACCCTCAGGGTCATCACTTTTATTATTGTGGATTTTCAGACTGACTCAAAGAAAACCATTTACGTTAACGCAGTTACAATTTCTATACAAAATATTTGTAACTCTTTGTCGTATCCTTCCTGTTCGTGATACATTAACATGATGTAAATAAATGCAGATGTACAAATGAGGGTAATAGTGGCCTGTTGTGATGCAGCAAGAGGCTAAGTTTGAGTTGGTTTAGCTCATAGTAATGTTATTTATTTATGGTGGTGGAGCATTATAATGTATCTCTCCCACTTTTTAACCAGCATGTAAATTCTTCTTTGCCTGGGCCATAAGATTGAACAACTTATTTAGTTATCATACCAGCACTTTTAATGTTAGTAATCTTGATTCTCTTTTGGATCTTACCAACTTTTGTATGACGTACACAGGGTTAAATGCTCCAAAACAAGTGAATGTCAATTATTACACTCCTGAATTTAAAAGCGTGTCTTGCTGATTTTATACTGCAATGATCATTTTGAGAATGTCTTTGCTTATGAAGAAATGTACTGGTCAGAACCTCGATGTATTTTTAACTTATTCACCACTGATTTAGTAATCTTTCAGGGTCCTTCTGTATGTATCGTCAGGTGCAAACTGACCATCTTTGTGGATGCAACACAATCAAATGTTTACAAAATCTGTCAGAAATCAATTTCCAACACGCTCCTACTCTTCACTGGTATCAATGACCCTTCAGTGTGTCCTGTGGACATCTGTGTTATGCTGAATGTCAAAATAGAAAACATTTTATAGCCATGTTTTGTGGATTTTCTTTCATATGGAAGGACCTGTTGTTCTGTATGTAGCAGCCATTTAAGACATACGTAGCACTTAGCTGAAGCTAGAGCAAACATGGGTAACTAGACCACTTTGTCACTGATGGAAACACAATGTTATCAGAATGCTGGTTTGGCCTGTGTGTCATGGCTTGCTTGTCTGCTTTTATGGTTTCACTTTATGGAGGAAGCACTGATTGTGCATTTGAATGTAAATACATTTACTATATGAGTTGTGTCTCAGTGCACCAATGATGTACTAAAAGCATGTTTCTGTCTTGTACTCTTTTTGCTCCCTCTTCTCTCTCCCTCTCTCTCTTCCTTTCTTCTTGGTAGTGGAAATGTAACAGTAGCTTAATGGAAGACTACGAATGAGATGAACATGTAATGAGTACAAAGTGTGTTGATGCTTTATTCGTGTTCAGGAAGAACACTGTAATAATAAACAATTGGAAAGAAGACAAAGTTCTGGTTCCTTTAAGCCTGTATAGTAACATGCTGAGAATATACATTTTACACTGCTATAATACTTTAATGCATATGATATGGCAGTTTACATTTTGAGTTTGAGTTACATTGTGACTTGTTTTATTTTTTTTTATAACCAGGCATGAGTACATTTTAAGAGTACTTCTGCTGAATAGCATATTTTTGTCCATATCTTCACTTCCTCATAAAGTGCGACATGACGTCCATGGGCAGAGGGAAGATGATGGTGGAGTTCTTCTCGGCTGCAATGGTGTTGAGGGTCTGGAGGTAGCGCAGCTGCAGCGCAGACGGAGACTCAGCAATGACCAAAGACGCCTCTTTAAGAGCACGCGATGCATTCATCTCTCCCTCTGCTGCTATCACCTACAAATAAAAGGCAACAAAAAACAATAAAGAAGACCATCACCACCAAAGCATAAGTTCTTTCAATTTTTCCACTTATCGGTGGAATATTGTGACATTAATACTTTCCTATATTTTAGTGAACTGCGTAAAAGCATTTTCAGCATTACAAAATGATATTCGTTTTTCAAGTGAATTGAATAAGGACAATAACACTAACCTGGTTCTCACCAAATCGATATGTGTACGTAGCACTATGTCTTGAGTTGTACACATCATTCTCATGAGTTTGTGAACTCACAAAAATCACAAGAATTCATATTGCTTGCAAGACTACAATAACACATAAAATAAGGCAGATAATGAGCAACAGTGTCTCAGAGGTTGCTCTTGGATAGGTGCAAGCTGCTATTGTGACACTTCACCCTCCTTTACCCATATACCCATGATCAACATCATGAACATCAAATTGTGTTGTAGACTGTAATTTTTTAAAATATCTACATGTATGGCTCATGCTCAAAAACAGCATCCTCTCTCAGAAGACAAATAAAGAACATGTTGATGCAGTAAGTGATGAGTGGTGTGGGTGAAGGGGTTTCACACACCCTGGTCTGGAAATGTCAGACTAAAGTGATTTGGACAGCATGCTAACCTTAGCTCGGGCCTCTCTGGCAGCTTCTGCCTCAGCAGCCATGGCTCTCTGCAGCTGAAGGGGCAGCTTCACATCCTTTATCTCCACGCGCTCAACTTTGATGCCCCAGTGGTCTGTGGCTTCATCCAGATTGCTCTATGAATAAAAAAGAAATACTTATTAAAACAGAATGTAATGATTGGTGGTTTGAGCTCAGATTGGTTTCATTTGAAAAAATAAAGTATACTTAGATTTAGAGTGTGTTCGAAACAAAATTAAACTGGTTTTAAACAAAGATCAAACAACACGTGTGAACGCATTAAATAATATGCTGCACTCATTAAACAATATACAAAGAACATTTACTTTGTGGCCAGTGCATTTTTATGAGGGATCAACCTCTCACCCTGCCTAACCCCCCCAGCCCTGGTTCTCTCTCTCAAAGTCCATTGTGTTAACGATCAAAACAAGTGTTTATATCTGTAGGTGTGGTCAGTCCTTCTGAACACTAACTGTAATGGATCTGAACCGCATCCATTTCCATTCTTATGAAAATGGGAAACACTTATTGCTTTGAGTTTTAGAGAAATATTTATAATATTTAACTTTAGCAGTGGCTTGCTGATTAAATATTAAATAAATAAATTTTAAATGCAATCAACAATCTATTGCTCATGAAACTAAATTCAACCATTTTAATAGAAATATTGAAACAAAAGGGAAATTCAAGACTCATCACACACTAACATTAAACCAGTATACTGTATATGACTGAAACACATGTATTTTAACATCTTCAATAACAAATATTTGTGTCGGATTATGTTTGTGTTTGCTGCTTTCACACAGAAACACACAAAACAAAATTCAACCTGGTCTAGACCAGGAGTAAATGAGGACTAGAACAGGACCAAACCAAATCTGTATCAGGACTAAAGTGGGCTCAAATTAGGACCAAAGTGTGAACACACCCTGAGAAAAACTTGATTGATCAACAAGGGAAATTTCCTGGATACAGTAGATATATGGGTTCGGTCAAGCAGTAACGGAGGGAAACAGGGGCAGATTTTTTACATTCAAATGTCTCTTATTCAGAAACTAGAGGGACTATTGAAATAAGTAAGGTATCAGAATGTAGGAAAGAGTTACACTCCAACAGGGTAAAGTTAACCCTGCAATATTCTTTCAAGTTGTTGACAAAAAATGTTAAAAATTCATGTCGGTAATGGAGGGAATGAAATATGCAGCACTTTTTGGGCAATAAATACAAACAGTGATAACTAGCGCTTCTCACTTACATATCCTTAACAAACTGGTTTGAATATTTGCTTCATATAGTTTTCTACCATATGGTACAAGATTAGGTTGAAAAACCTCTTACTTTTTGAGTAATGAGATTTTTTATTAAGAAAGGTCATGGTAACGGAGGGAAAACTGTGCAAATAAGTAGAAGGTGCATGATTTTGCATAATTTGTCAGCTTTTTTCTTCTGAATACTTTAATATTACTTCAAAATGAAAGGTAACTATTTCTATAAAATATGTCAGTCCTTCCAAGCAAATATTTATCATTTTAAATACATATTTTTTTTGAAAAATCATGTACCTTCATCAACAGTTCAAAGATCGAATAACACAAGATATGATGAAATACATCAATTTATTTACATGATTTGCAGATTTTTGAAATTTGGGAAATAATTTTTGTTCCATGTTTCATACATGGTCTGTTTAAAACATATGTAACTTTAGAACCAAAAATGGTACAGAAAAAAGGTAAACAGTTTCGTAAACTAGAGTACATATGCTATCTGTTGAATACATTTTTATATCAGATGTATTAACTTGAACTTTTGGCCTTGATGTATACTTCTGCTTGACTGGGCCCATATACTACAGGAATAGCTTTTAATAACAGATTCTGAAGACTGTGAACTGTGATAGTGAACATTAGGATTGCAATAAAACTCAAAACAAAACAAACAAATAAACAACAACAACAACAAAAAACAAAAAAATTACAATTAAGGAGCAAACTTGACCCTGTTCGTCCTCCCTCTCACTCAGACACTGCAGGTCCATTAGACATAGAGTATATTTAAATGGAAGCCTAAACTGTATTCCGTGCTTACCTGCATGCTATGTGCGATGCCCTCTCTGTCAGACAGCAACTCGGCCAGGTTCTTGGTGCCAAGGACATTTCTGAGGGTGGTCTGAGCCAGGAGACGGGTGGCGAAGTCTGCATTGGACACATTCACCACGGAGGCAATCGGATCACTAACACGGAAGTACACCACTCCATCCACACTGACTGTCACAGAGTCCTTTGTCAAGATCTATGGAAAATACATAAGGTCTCCGCCTTCACAGGGTTCAGGAAAGAGTTAAAAGATGCTGTTGTTGTTGGCATCATTACCTCCTGTGGTGGGATGTCAAATGAAACTGTTCTCAAGTCAACTCTTACCAAGCTATCAGTGCATGGAAGAACGCCAAAAATGCCTGTAAACAAACATAGTGAAAAAGTACTATTAGTTTATTGAACTTTAACTTAAACCTCTGATACACAATGTTTTTAAACATATTGGTAAGAAATGGTCCGCATTCAGCTGCTATGTTTGTGTGGTCTACTAGCTGCGCTTTACTTGGTTGCATCTTTTGAAAAGAATATATTATATGATCAGCTAAATATAATATATTATTGTGTGTACTACTGGAAAAATGTTCTTACCTGGTCCTTTGGCCTTTCTGTCTATGACACGACCCAGCCTGAAGATTACCGCTCGCTCATATTCTTGAACAATCTGCAGAACAAGATGAACATTTTGAGAATATGTAGACAGTTTTTTGCCCATTAAATTGACTTTGTGTTTCTGTACCTTTATGCAAAACCAAATGGTGAAAGGGAAGAGTAAAGTGGTGAACAAGCCAGAAATGATGACAATAATCCAGCCGCAACACCCCAAAGATCCTGTGCGTTCAGCTGTAGAGGAAGTGAACATTCATCATTGTGCAAACATGGAAATTACACTTCTTCAGAGTTGCGAATGTACTGCAAAGTTCGATAAGTGTGTTATTCTAAATTAGAAAAGAATAATACATCTTAGAATTTCCAGTAGCACCATAGTTTGGCGTGGGAACCATTGATCATTTATCAAAATGGCCTCTAATAAATGCATTAGTGAAGGAAGTGCCTGGCTGTCACACTGGCCTGTAATGATCTGATGGTTATCTGTGCATGTTTCGAAACAGAGCCCTGACAGTTCCCATCATCCCTCGTGCTTTTATTGTGGTCACAGTAATTGTACTGGTCACATGCAGCACATAGTGATCATGACATATTTACTAAAATATGCTGAAGAGAAGCTATGTAGTATGCGCTTGTACAAATATTTTTGAACACTACGTGTTTTCATACATAAAGAACAGAACAGTTTTCCGATAAATGTAACTTTAAATCTTTAAATTTTAAACGTTCACATTGACTTTTATGGGGACGTAAACTACACAAGAATGTTCTACTGCTTAGATTCAGAACAAATAGATTTTCATAAAGTAGGTTACTTATTTATTGAAGTATTAAGATAAGATAAATAAATGTTTCATATAATAATGTCAAATGTTATATTCTACCTTCCCTCCAAACTCTAATTTGTTGACATGCAAGGGCTATAAATTCACTCTCAAAGCACATTACATAGCACTTTTAATAATATCCTGCAATAATATAACATGGATTATAAATGACTATTATTCATGTAGAAAAGTTTGCATATGTTCCTAATTGGAGATGGAACACAAAGCTGCCATGTTTACACTGCTGAATCATGTATTTGTTTTCCCTTCATTTTCAATAAAAGCCAAACAAATGCCAAACAAAAGGGCTAAAATACTTCCAATAGGTGTACATACAATTCATTACAGAGTTATGACATTTTTCCAAAGGCTGAATCTAAAGTCCAGAAAAAAGCACCAAGGGAGTAGAGACACAAACAGTCTTAGTCACATGCTCCAGGGACCTTTGATTGCATGACTTGTTTCTGTGGAGATGGAGACATGTCTTTCACCTGTACACTTAACGTGTCACATGTAAATACCCTATGTAAACATACATAGATATGAAACACGTAACTTTTTTTTTCTTTTTAACAGTAGCATTTTGTATTAAATAGCATCTGAAATGTGGTTTATTTAGTTTTTTCCCTTTAGTAGTAGTAGTAGTAGTAGTAGTAGTAGTAGTAGTACTTTTTCTTTCATGTACACAGTTTGTTTTATTATTTTCAAGAAAAATTATAATAATTTTTATACCCCCCTTCCTCCCTATAAAAGGCCAAAATCATGGATAATATGAATCTTGTACTATGCTATAATATAATATGTTATGTTGATCTACATAGTAACTTATCATAGAAAAACCCCAAAACAAAAAAAAAAAAAAACTAAACTAAAAGTATTAAAAATGTCTTACATATCAGGTTTTCTTTGCTCACTCCTCTGCTCTTCTGGCTTTCCATTTGATCCTCCATTTCCATGAAACTGTTATCGACTACAGGCAAAGTGCTTCGGGAGTTTGGTTAAGTGTTCTCTCAGTCAGGAGAAGCCAACCTTTTAAAGAACAAGTGCCTTCATAAAACAGTGCAGTGGGAGTGGCATGGGCAATGGGTTGATAATCTACAAATGAGTAACCGGTTTTATGGATGGTTTTCAGATTCTAGTATGTGATGATGTACTTCTGGATAGAGGAATGAGACAGATATTCCTGTTCATAAGATTGCACTTTCCTATGAGATATCTACAAGGTAAATTCACAAATGTTGAACCTGGTCATTTCTCTTAGTGACTAGACCCAAGATCTCACTGGATTGCAAGAAACTCTGCATTTTAACAATATAAATTTTAGCTTCCCCCATCTGTATTAAATATTATAGGCCTATAGAATATATGATGTCATCTTAAACCCAGCAATAGCAAGTTCCCTGCACAGAATCAAATTTGAAACAAGAAGTTAAATATTAGATTAAAATAAATTTTGGTCTTATCAGCACAAATGTCGTTACAATTAGGTCAGACATCCTGGATGAGTAACAAGCATGTGCCTATATTTAGATTCAGGTATGCAATGCTGTACTTTTAATTGCTTCATAGCTGTTCAAGCAATATATTTCAAAATGACAAAATGCCCCTTTCCCCCTTCACGGTAAATCTTTAAATTACTCTGGCTGTTGCCTGTTCACTATGTGGTCATAGAATAATTGACCTACAGTAAATTGCAAATAAATGTTTCATTAGTCCAAAGTCGTGTGTGTCGATTTATCATCACATGACAACTGATACATCACATGACTGATAAGGTATAGTGCAATATTACAACATATGGACATTATCATTACAAGCCCATTGTGAAGGCTTATTTAGTGAAGCTTTGAATAAATATAATTACTTGATCAATATAATATTGACACCAAAACTACAATTGATAAACTATTGTCAAAACATTAGAAGGTATCAAAAACAGGTAAACTGTAGCTCGGAGTTCTGATACATAAATGGTGCTAATAAACCACAGAGTCTTAATATATTACAGTAGTAGAATTTATGAGCAGTGTCAAGAAGAGACAATTCATGAATATGTTTGAAATACTTAACAAACAGGACACAATGCTGAGATAAAAAAAACACAATTATCATTCCATGGTGGCAAAATGTTCATATTGCAATTGTAAGCATACAAATAAATATACTGGTACCCTGCCCCTATCAAAACACAAAAATGAATTGAAGCGTTCTTGTGATAAACAGCACCAATGTAAGGTTTATCGTGTCTGCACATTTCACGTCTGCCAAACAGGAGGTCAGAGGAAGAGGAGTTATAAAACAGCAGTAACAGCTGACGTCCTCCATTCAAAGTAATTTCATCTAATGATGAAAATCTACAAGTGAACAGACAATTCAATACATGATCCCACGTACAAAATTTAAATGTCTATAACTCATTACTAAACAATAATAATTCACTAATATTAGACTATTACTATAGACAATCCTCTAACTTTGTTGTCAGGAAAATTTACTCAAATGTGATCATGTTTATGTATAGTCCATAAACACCTATTCATTGACATGTAGCAATTGTCATAACTGTTATGACTTTTTTCAAAAAATCACTAAAAAGGGTCTGGCTCAGAGACCATTTTGGAAAACTGCTTTCCAATGTTCACTGCCAGCCGAGCTGAGGGTGCAAGCCTGGCTGTAGGGAAAAAGGAGCCCCGGGCCCTGGGGGGTAGTTGGGGAAACTGTTCGGCTGAGGAGAAAAGTTATCCAAGGTAGGTGTGGAGTGAGCCTGAAAAGAGATCAACCGGTTAATGTTCCAATGAAAGATGTCCTAAATGTGCCTGGCTGTAGTGCAGGTTTACCTGCAGGAGAGCTGACTGCATGCTGGGATTGTGAAGACCACTGAGGGCCGCTGGAGAAGCTGAGGGAGAGAATCCCGGTACCCCGGGGAAAGATAGCAGCCCTGGGAATCCACTGCCCCCTGGAGGCTGGAGTCCACTGCTCAACCTGAGACAAAAAACACAGACAAAGTCTGAGTGTAGTTAAGCAAGCACATAACATTGGTATAAATCAATGCCTTGCTCTGTGTACTGAATAAACAACAGAAATTGGTAATGTCATGGAAAGAAACACTGCATTGCTTATAGCCATTAATCAACTATTGGTACTGCTTCCCAGTACCAATGGTTGATTACCCAACGGTTGACCCACTCAAACAGAACAATAATTATAAATAAACAGCAGAAAAATGAAGTTGTCTACACTATCCAAACAAAGTCCAAGTTCAGCCCTTGACTGTTAAAAGTCCACTTGTGATTTATGATGTGATTTATGGTTCTTTTCCATGACCTTTATTACATGTGACTGGAGCACCCATGACGTGCAAAAGGTCACAATTCACAACCAAATAGTAATAATGTCTTATGATGTGTATTATGATGTAAACTGTTTATAAAACTCCAATTTAAATTTTTAAGATTCCCTCTGTCAACTTTCTTATAACCATACCCTTACCCTTTATTCAAAACTACAAACCAAGTTTAAAGCTGCACTGTGTAACTTTTCAGATGGAGGGTAGAGTGGCCACCTGCTTATGTCGATGGAAATGTTACTGCTTTGCATGGAATATTCCAAACAAAGTGTCTGCCCCTTCACCAGAAAATTGTACAGTGAACCTTTAATGGTAAAATTCGCTGACACTTTCCATAGAACTTACCCAGGCTGAAAATTGGAGCTGAATGCAGAGGCAAAGCCTGGTAACACTGGGGATGAGGAGGGGACCCCAGCTGCTGCAGCGGCTGCCTGCAGAGGGGCTACAGATGCCACTGAAGAGGCCACTGTCGGAGCCAGTCCCATGAAGGAGGACAGCACCGGACTACCTGCACCAGGACCCCCAGAGACCCCCAGCCCAGGGAACCCAGCAGGGCTGGGGCCCGGAGGAAGGCCTGGGAATATGGAAGGCGCAGAAGTGAGGCCCAGACCGAATGGCGAGGCTGCAGAGGGAGCAGCACTCGGAGCAAGGCCGGGGTAGATGGTTGTTGGAGGGTGAGTAGACATATTTGAGGAGGGGGGCATTGTTGGTAAGGATGATGGATCAGTGGAAGCAGGAATAGAAGTAGTAAGAGAGCGAAAAGATGGCAGACCAGGGTAATGAGAAGGCACGGGGCTGGAGGGCAGGCCTTGGAGTGCGGAGATGGCTACAGGACTTGGAAGTGAGACTTGAGGTGACCCAGCAGACTGAGGTAGACCTAGAGAACGAGCCAGAGCAGCCTGAGCAGAGCCCACCACCAGTGAGCTGACAGAAGGTGTACCAGAGCGTGGTGTGCCTTTGAAGGCAGAGGGCACAGGGCTATTACTGCCACTGCTGCTCCCTGCATGTCTGCTCAAAGCTACACGTTGCTGCTCTGCCTGCAGGGCTCCAGCTGCACTCTGGAGCGCATGTGCTTGGGCAGGTTTGTGACTTGGGCCAGGGGTGGAAGAGTTCGGGTTTATCGGGGTGGATGATCCAGGACCAGAGGGGGTGTAGCTCCGAATTACTGACCCGGGGTGGTTACCTTGTTGCGGGTGAGTGCTGTGGAAGGTGTGCTGATGTTCCACAGAGTGTGAGAAAGCCTTCTGGTGTGTGGAGTTGTTCTGGTGAAGGTCAGAGCGAGGGTTGGCGGGAGTGCCTGGTCGGGAGGAAGTGGGAAAGGGAACTGGGGTTCCACATGGGGTACTTGATGGTGTGTGGCTTTTGATGACAGATGAGGGTCCTGGAGTACTGTGGCCACTAGGGGTTTGTGGTCCACTTTTAATGACCGAGGGAGAGGGAGCAGGTGCAGGGGAGGGGGCGTTAGGGTTGTTCGAGGGCACCATGCCAGGAAACACTGGGGTAATGGGCGTGGTAGGAGCCTGCTGAGCCGCTGAGGCCTGAGGCGGAGCAGGGGTAGATGGAGTCGAGCCGTGAGGGATGAGGAGGGGACCACTTTTCACTCCTGGTGTAGCATTTTGCGGATTTCCTGGTTTGGCATAACCTAATGAAAAACATGTATAATCAGAATTAAAACGTAAAAGTAATTTTACAAAATGTTACTTTATCAGAACAAGCAAGCAAGGATGTGTTAATTTCCTCAAATCTAAAAGCAAATATTTAAAATGCAGGCCGTGCAGCTTAGTTAACACATCAATAAAAAATAAAATTCAGGACTGAAATGATGTTTTTTTTGTTTTGTTTTTAAAAAAATCTCGAAAATGTTTACGTTAATTATCTGTACACTGACCATGCTATAATATTATAAGCAGACAATGTTCTAAATAAGATTTTGAGCACTCATTTCAATCATGAAAAATGTAACAAATTGTTGTATGCATTAAGTGTTCATGTTTGCATGTAAGTAAAAGAAACATTTACTACTTCTAAACTCAGCGCAGCATTAAGTTATCATTTACCAGCATAAAGGCCAACACTGACTGACCAAAGAATTTACCATTTTGAATTGACCTTACAGTGAAATAATATTTCTGAAAGTGAAAATATAATTTTAGCAGAATTGTAGGCTCAATTAGATAGTTGTACTGTTTTTCCAAACACGATTCAATTTTAGTTTTAATTTTATGTAGTTCCAGTACAGTCTTTTATGTTCTTTTCAGGTCACTCAGTGTACTTCAGCAGAATAAGAAGCACATTCTCGCCTTTTTAAAGCCATTAGACCATAAAAGCAGAGGTAAGCAGCATGCTGGGTAGCAGTTAGGCAGTGAGTTTAAAGATAATTTATTCGTCCTCACTCATTCAAACACACGCACGCTTGCCCTCTTCGAATCATACCTGCCATTTTATGGGTGCTGTTGTAGGGGGGAGGAGCTACGTTGGCCGTTATAACCCCTCCCATAGAAACAAGGCCTGCGTTGTTGTACGCACCTGAGTAGCATTTGCAAATATTAAAACTTTCCACTATGCATTTATGTTGGAAGCTCAGACATATACTTCAGATATATACTTCCACTGACCCCATCAAACATCATTGTCTTTCAATAATTCCAACAAAACAATCAACTTAGTCATTTTTATAGACTAATGTCAGCTCTTATTGTGAAAGTATTTGACTTACTTGGTGCGATGGTGGCATGAGGTCGGCATGGTGGTATAGGATAGGGCACAGGTCGATGAGGGTTATAGGATGAAGGAAACTAAAAAAAAAAGAATTTCAGATAAACCTTTAAATTACAAGATATTTTTAAATGTTTAATGTCATCAGTTCACTTCGTTGTTAAAAAATAAAAATAAAAATCACAGTAAGTTAACAGCACTGTGTTACTTGCCGGCTTAAATGGTCCAAGAATTCGTGATGCAATCCCTTTTCCATCCATATTGTTAAAGTGGTCGTCTTTCTTTTCTCCCTCCTTTTTTAATGGAGGGACTCCCTTTCACCAAAAACAAACCCATGCATTAATTATCAATTTACCATCTGATAACAATGTACAGACAAAAATGACACATATGAAACATGAGTTAAATATTTCCAGTAAGAATTAATTCTACTCACAGGAAATGTGCCAGAGACAAGACTAGGTCTGCCTTTCGGGTAAGGGTTTCCAGGGATAATACCACATGACGAAATCATGGCAACAGGGGCTTTACAGCCAACCTTACACACCTTACCAGAGAAGAGTAATTTAATAAAATAATATAATAGCAAGCACAATAGTAAAGCAACAGAGAGACACAACATAGCAAGATACACATGACTAAGTGATGATTTACCTGCTCTAGGATCCGGCGTGCTCTTTTCTTCTCAGACAGGTGTGTTCGAAATAGGTCTTCTACTGGTCTGTAATTCTGAGCATCTGAAATATTTCTATGTTCGGGACATTATGCGGTCATAATCATATAACAAAGTATTACAACATCATTCACAGGACATTTCAGTGTCAAAAAACTCACAAGGCAATGAGCTCCAAAACAATCAGTCTATCCTTTGTAAAGGTAAAGCAGTTCAAGATATTTGCAACTTTGGTTGTAGTGATTGCCACCATTTTCTAAACAAGAATAAAAAAATACATATTACTACCTCTTCAGCAATTTAACAATTCATAACTAACTAAAAGCATGCCTCCACTTACATGCTGCAATGCTTTCACAGCTTTGATTTGAGGTTCTGCCCAAGAAAAATATTTCAGTATCTCCATCACCTAAAAAGGAATCATCACAAAGAACACTTTAATGTAGCAGCGTTAATGTAACATAGTGCCAATTAATGAATAGTGTCCTTTCTCCAGATAATTAGGTATGCAGTTGGCAAGGCCCAATTGTTAG